CCTAGCATAAAAGAGAACTAGCCTATTCTAAATTCGTTGGCCGTGATTGTCTGCATGTCATGATCAGGGCTCCGTACAACCGAATATAACCTTAGCCTAGCTGTTTATTCATTTATTATGGTATGTTGGTCTAACTAGCTTACCTTTTGCTGCACCATGTTTGCGTAGCACATCCTCGTGCTTTCTGGCAATGTGCCGCTTCAGATTCCAATATAAATCTTTACTAACTTTAACAGTCTCCCCACACTCCCTCTCAGTTTCTTCTCCCTGCTCATTCTTAACTTTGATTTTTACATAAGGCTTGCAACTTCGTTGAAACAATATCTGAACTCCTTAACTGCTCTACTATTCTTGATCGCTACAGATTCTCGATCTCGAACAAGCAAATCACCAAAGGGCATTCTGGGTTGAGCGAGCGGCACTGAGCGTATTGAGCGAGCGGAGCGGAATCTTCAGAAAGGCGCTCTGCGCTCTTAAGGAAATATTACCACTCCGCTCCCCGCTCCGCTCCACTCACATGCTCTGCTACCAGCAACTGTTTGGTTACCAGCTTTCTTCAGAGAGCCCCGTAAATGTGAAAAGGATCCTTTAAAAATCGCACACATAACTCACCTTATTTCTCTTCTCCAGAACTTCATTGGGGTTCGTGTTCAGAGGAACAAACTGATTTGGATCTTCAATGCGGATCGGAGTCCCGCTGTTGTTTCCACTGTCGTCTGACTTCATCCACTGCAGAGGTGGTGTAAAAGAGATTTAGTACAGAATTCACGAAAATAAATACAGGATGAGATTTTAAAGCCCTCCGAGAGCATTCAGAGTTGGCGTAAAGTCTAGCGACAGCTGATTTGAAAGAGTTGTAACAAATTCTCTCAATGTTGAACTCATTCATACCAAGTACATATTTTTGCCATGAAAACATTTGCACAAATGTCTAGTTTTGAGCTATAGATCTAGACTTGGTCAAGTCTGACATTTCATTCTTGGTGAAAGTGCAGCACAGCAAAGTTTCGTCTACTACACATACTGAAGCATGCGTGACACACGTGGTGTTTTCAGTGTCTGCAGTCTCATTATATGAGGACGAGAACACATGAACTTCATCTCTAGAGATGCTCTGAGAGTCAAATTCAGTAACATTTCACCAGCTCGGTTGATAAAAACTATCATCACATATATAAACAGAAACTTCACAACAACCCGTCAAAATAAATGTTAGGTTTAACTTAAGACAGACATATTACTACTGTACTGTAGATTGTACATCTCAAAATAAATAATAATATAATACAATTATTAACACTTTATTTTATAATCATATTTCAATTTTAACAGAGAACCTCTGCAGTGCAGCAATTTGTTTGACAAAAAAATAAAATAACTATAAATTTTCATTTGATGACATTTTAAAATATTAAACTGTTCATGTTTTATGCCTTTAATTTGTATTAAGTCAAATCCAGAAAATTTAAACAGACATAAAATAATTTCTAACAAAATAAAACATTTAATAGGACTCAATTATTATAAAAATGTTTAATAAATTGATACAAATTTAAAAAAAGGTTTATGAATACATTAGAGTAAACATGTTTTATGATTATTAAAATTGTATTAAACCATTCAAATGGAATTCAGGAAAATAAAAACAGAAAACTGAATGTGAAAAAAAAAAAACAGAATTCATAGGGCTCTAAAGACGTAATATTTGTTCAACTTTTAATAAATTATTGTTAAATTGTATAAGTTCCATGATTTAAATGAATTAAATATGCCTTTTTATTACTTAAATTTAATTAAACTGGTAAAATAGAATTAAAAAAAATTAAATGGAAAACACAAAACTTGGGGAAAATAAAACAGAATATAAGATGTTATAAGGGCCCCCAAAATTAATTTTTTTGTTAAACTTTTAATAAATTTTAAATTGAGTTTCATGATTTCAATTAAATATAAATTTTTATTAATGCCTTTTTATAAATTTAATTTAACCATTAAAATGAAATCCATAATAATTTCATAGGGCCCTAAAAATGAAGGCAAAGCTCTAATACTAAAGCCTTGACCACTAGAGGTCAGGAGGGAACTGTGTTTGGCATCAGGCTTGAAGGCAGTGGCCTCCTCCAGTCAACTGACAAAAGTAATGAGGCTTCAAAACTTTATCTGTGATGACAGAAAATTGGAGTTCATTTCATCTGCAGCTAGACCGTTAGGTACATGCCCAGGAAATAACCACATTCTTGTTCTTTCACATAATCCACTGGCGGACTTTCTGATAAGAAAGATTTACTACTTTTACAGCAATCCCCTTTTTTCCTTCAAAAGGCTTCCGAAAACTGGACTGCACACATCCCAGATCACCATAACAGAGATGAACCGAGTCTTACCGTGGTCTTGGTGCGTCCGTTCTCCTCATTCACCCCGTCCGACACGTTCACCTTCATGTAGCAGTTGGGTGAATTGAGCCAGCGTGTTTTCTCTCTCTGCTGTCGCTGCTGCAGTAACTTCAGTGGGAAACGTGGAGCATCATCGTCGTCAAACAGGAATGCTGTCACTGTTGCAGGAATCTCCACTTCGCTCTTGTGTCGCGGTTTCTCCCGCACAATGGGGTGCCGGTACGTGTAGCCTGTCCTGTAACCCTGAAAGTAAAAAATCTATTTGTATAATGACAAACTGCAAAACAAATTTATAACGGAAATAGAAAAAAAAAGAAAAAAATCTATTAATAAATGAATATTTAAAAAACCTTTGAATAAATAAATAAAAAACACTAACAAAAGTACATGCAAGTATAAATACAAATATAATTAGAAACCCAAATTAAAATTGTGTGCGTGTGCGTGTATTATAATATATCTAATATAAATAGCAAATTATATATAATATTAATACATATATATAAATATAAAACTAGTCAAATTCCAGAAACTATAAGGATGAGGCCTGTTTCTAATAAAGTTTTTCTTTTTTATTTATCACTTTTATGACTGAGCTTAAAATAAATAAATAAATAAATAAACTAGTCAAGTTCTAGTAACTACACTTATGAAAGATCTTAAAATAAATGTAAGTATATAATAAGTTATTTATAATGTATATATTATTAATACATATATACATACATACATTTAATACTATTATTCTAATATTTAATAATACAAATAAAAATAGTCAAATTCTAGTAACCATAAAAACGAGACCTATTCTTAAATCATTTAATTGCCTTTTATGAATGAGCTCCCCATGAAATCAAAATGAAAGTTTTTTGGGTGTTAGTATCAATATGTTAGTCTTAAGGTTATCTATAAGGCAGTGTGCTCCAAAACAGTGACAAAATTCACATTTAGGAGATATAAGCATTCAAAGCTTGCAGTTCGTCACTTCCGCCAAAACGGCTCAACGATTTTTTTGACGTCACATCGTACTTCAGCTTCTCATCAAACTTTCTGTTCAATCAAATGCTCTCTAGAATCCAAAGCGCCCGCCCCCTACACTATAAAATAGACGCTGAAGCTGCAGCTGAAATCGGTTACTTGTCCACAGAATTAGTATTTTCTGTACAGTGAATGGCACGTAGTGCACTATATAGGGGACAGGGAACGATTCAAACAGTGTAAATATGCTTTCCATTGAGGAAAAAATTAAGTCTGGTTTCGCGCTGTGTCACGCTAACCACCGCACCACACACACAGTCTGCTCCGGTTCAGAGACATGATAGCACGGAGCGGATCACATGCACGAGTCGGCGCAGACCACAAAATGTATCAGAGCTATTTGAATTCTACACAATATGGATGAGATTGTGGCTGGCATACCCTGTCAAATGCGGCTTTACAGAGCTCAACGGCTCTAGCTCAAGCTGTGATAAACGAACGCTATTGGCCATTTTAAAAAGGGGCGGGGCTGCTTGATATGTCCCGCCCTGTCTTCCTGTTTCAGTTAAAATGACGTCAACACAGAGTAACGCTGCATGTTTCTAAGCATTTCAGGGGACCTTTAATGAATAATTCAACTGAATTATTCAAATGAATTTGTTTATATAATGAGCCGCTGCTTGGAAACTGACTTGGCAGAAAAAAAAAATTTCACAACTTTTTAAAGGTCCATCTGCATTTTAAGTGCATTATGTAACCATAAGCTGAAACTCTCCAGCAGAATCAAGTAAACCGTATTGGTTCACTGAAAGCTGGTGACGTCACACCATATTGTTATCATCTTCCACATTACTCCATTCTTCTGCCGCAGCTGAGAAAACAGACTTTCCACATGCCTGTATTCTGCCCTATCTCACACGGACAGAGAGAGAGAAAACAGCGCGTCTGCACAGCTGGAGAAAGAGACGGACAGAAAGAAGAGAGCAGTTTTGGCAGAAGTGCTCTTCAACTCCAGTTTGTCTCTCTCTTCACGTCTGTCTCTTTTTGTCCGCCTAATAGGAGAGGAAGGAGGGCAGGAAAAGAAAAAGGCTAAAAGATGAAGAAAGAAGTGATTTTCCAATCTCTCTGCAGTGATTATTCCTCTCAAACACAGCTGGACTAGTAGTAAGTGGTCATTTAGCAGATGCTTCTGGCTGTTTTTGGCTCAACTACTTGCTCTAAATCAGAGTTCATATCCACCCGTCTTCTGTATCTGTATCACACTGGGACACGACTGGCACAGAGTTCACTGGTAGTAAATGTAGTCGAGTCTCACACAAGCACATACCAGGTTGTCCAGCATTCTCATGAGCGACTCGAACTCCAGCTCTCCCAGCCTCCACTTGTGCTGAGAGCCCATGTTTACCCCGGCTTCTGCCACCCCCTGTGTCCGAGGTTTATACTTCTCCAGATCCAACACGATCAGGTTCTCCACTCCTCCAGCACATGAGAACGCATTCACCTACAGAGACACAAATGTGCTGAATTTTTACAGAAATGTACTGGTTTTATTGAAATTTACTGCCATATCAGCTTACAGATACATAAAGATTCAGGATTTTGTAAACAATACAAACTTCTAAAATAAATGCAAACATTTTATTTTGGATTAACAATTATGGATATAAAACATTCTTTGAACTTGATGAATATTATTGGGGCGTGTTCCATTGAAGAAGAAATTGTGAAATATACTACAACTGTACAGTAGAATGCACATCTCAATGTACTACTAGTACTACTACTAATAAATTATTAAAATGTAATTTTTTTAAGGAATAATCACACAATTGTTCTCTGTTGTAAACCTCTGTTGGGCAGCACTTTGCTTGACATAAAAGGGTTTGTTAAATTTTCATTTGATTAAAACTTTAAATATCGTAATAAGTTGTTTTTATGAATGCAATTGATTAGATATGCTTTTTTATTATTTAATTAAACCATTAAAATGGAATCCAGAAAACAAACCTAGAAAAAAAAAAAAGAAAAAAAAAAACAGAATTAGATTTAAATTTTTTTTTAAAAAATTAAATAAAACGGAATTTGACAAAGAAACTTATTTCATAAGGCCCTAAAAACGTGATTTTCGCTCAATTTTTAATAAATAGTTAAATTGCAGAGGTTTCATGATTTAATTAGACATGGTTCTTAATTACTAAAATTTAAATGAATCATTAAAACAAAGTCCTTTTCAATAAAAAATTAATTCAGAAAAATTTATAGCGAAAATAATAATAATAATAATAATAATTTGTCATGATAAAAACATGTTTTTCAGACAAGATGGTGCTACAGTATTTTGACATTTGGTGGTTCTTCACCCTTCATTCAATACCTGTGAGTCAGTCTAGTATGGGCTATATTCTGTTAGCCATTTGTATTTTGTGTTTAAAACGCATCACTAAAATCCAATAAATAAACTGTGAAAGTCTACAAGAATTAAGAAAGTTTTACTTGTATTTCACAGGCAAACTGAGCGTTGTAAATGTAGTGAAAGGCCTCTTCAATGGTCTCCCCGAGAGCTACAACCCCATGATTCCTTAAAACCAACACCTGCAACACACACAACACATACGTAATTATCTTGCACATTTACAATCTTAACTGCCCTTTACACTTTCATTCTGAATGGCAAGTACTGAATTGTGGAGGCAGTTTACCTTCGTTGATGGTCCGAGGGCTTTCTGGAGCTCTATGCGCTCCTCTTGCTCATCCAGACTGCCTTGGTAGTTGTAATATGCAATGTCACCCAGGATCAGAGCCTCCTGAGAGATGGGCAGAAGGCCGCACTTCATAGACGACACCTGACATGGCATAAGAGATTAATGCAAGTCATGGTGATTTACAAAAACAGTCATAATTTCAATATAAGCTACATATTGCTTTGAAATTGGTGATAGTGCATATGGAGCAAAAGCAGGTGGGACTGGACGGAACCTTACAGCAGCAGTGGCTGGTGTGCGTATGTGAATGACGCAGCGCACGTCGGGTCTCACGGAGTAGATGGCAGCGTGAGGGCTGAAGCCGACCGGGTCGATCTGCAGGTTGGTGGAGCCCTGATCGATCACGTCGCCGAGAATATTTACCTTCACCTAAAGAATGAAAGAAATTCAAAGTAGTTTATGACTGAAGATGATTGTGAAAATGTAGGGTAAATACATTGAACCCTCCTAAAACACAAAAAAACTGAGGCTACACAAGATTTATTAAAGAAATAGTAGTATCTGATCTCTTGTATCTGATTGCTTATTAAACAAATCAGAAGTATAAATACACATCCTACACTATCTCTTATTTTCTTTTAATCCTGACACAGTGCACCTAATCAGGAAGGAACTGTCATTGGAGATACACTGAGAACTGGTGGATGATTCAGTTAATGTTAATGTTCAGTTAATGCATCCAGTTCCTGGTTATGTCAACAGAGGATGGCCAAAGGGGAAAACCCCCAGGAAGTTTACAGCCTGATTAAGCTGATTTACACTAACGTTCAAAGGTTTGGTGTCACTAAGATTTTTTTAAAGAGCAGGTCATATGGTATTTTAAAGTGTCCTAATATTGTGTTGGAGTCCCCTACAACAGGTTTAAAAGCATCTAAGGTCAGAAAACATTGTAATTTTCTCAGAATATACATTTAATATTAGAGTAATTTGCCAATGATTTCGAAACGATTCGTTCCAAGCAAGTTCGGAGCAAACCCCTCCCATCCATAAGCCTACTCTGCTCTGATTGGTCAGCTGGCCAAGCCTGTTGTGATTGGCACAGAGAGGAGTCCTTGAGCAAGTTAGCGAGCGCTACCATTGAAAAAAGCACCTTTACATAAAACAATAATATAGTGGTCCAATCCGTTCTTATAATAATGACATAAAATACAAAAACACTTATGCATGCGAATCGTGCCCCCAGCTAAAGTTTAGCTGCTGAACTGTGAACACTTAAAACAATAATGGTGGATACGTTAGCCGAGTGCTAACGTGACTAACTGATGAAACAATACAGTTTGTAAACCCAAATATGTCTACTGTAATGTTTGAAGAACGACAGACAAAATAAACAGCAATTTCACAATGATTATAAAGTCTGTGTGCTACACTACATTATTATTAAACGAAGTAATTAGAACGACGTCAGTCTACATGAATCGACACACTCTTAGGAAATAGTGGGTTCACAGCGAATTATATATAATATCGTGCTTTACCTGGAAACCTAAAGCTGCACTAGGTATACATCACTAGGGATGGAACGATTACCGGTTTTATGATAAATCACGATTTAAAATTTAATTATCATCAAAACCGTGTTTGATTATCACAATTTTGAAAACTCGCGGTAAATCCTGTCCAGCCAGCATCAGTCTGACGCAGAAGCAGCATGCAATGTTGTTGTTGTTTTGTTTTTTTTGCACGAAAGGAAATGGCGGAAGGCAGTGACTTTTACAAGAGTCCTGAAGGCAATTTAATCGAGGACGGTCACCCTGTCTGCTGATCTTGCTAGAAGAAAGTAGCTGCAAAAGGGGGAAACGCATTAAATTTGCTCAGTCATCTTCGTTACCACCACCCACTGATATTTAGCGAATGCAAGGTAACTTTTACCTCAATAACAAAACTAACTGGGCAAATAATTGGACAACAAATATTGATTAGAGATTAAATATTTCGTTATCTCACTTGTTTAATGCAAAGCTTCCGCGAAGAAAAGTTCTCAGCAAGTGGCTTTGAGCCAAGACGAACGAACGTTCAAACTATAAGGTTGACATTTAAGGGATAATGTATTGTATATTCATAGTTTACTTATTACACATATTTTTTTTGTTTACCTAAAATTATATATATAAATACGGGGATATGAAATATTGAATTGAGATTAATGTTTTGAAATCTTACCCGTTTATAAATCCATTATGAACGGTGTACAAAACAATCGTCAGGACAATATGATCACTACAGCAAAATTATAGTAGTATTAATACTAAATTCCTCTGATTTCATTTTCAATACAATCAAAAACTGAGATGCAAGACGGCAAGCTGCATTTGAATGAAACGAGAGAGCCGCGTCTGCGCCTCCGTGGTGATACAAGAGACATGGGGCAAAATCCAAACAGAAGCGAGCATCCCTATGCCCTACTCGTTCTTTGAAGTGTGCAGGGTATTACTGTCTCGTATAAGCATTTGGAACTCCCTTGGCAAAGGGAATGACTGACCAAATGTTACCTTGACAACGCTGCGCGTGCGTGCAGCATTCAGTACTCCATCAGTTGTTGCAAATACATATTTATTATTATTATTTTATTCAAATATTGTCTAATTGTGTCTTATTTACTATTAAACGTTTTCAAACTAAACTTGCTTACACTACCGTCTTAAATCATATTTTTATCACTGATGAAAAATATGTTGTCTTGCATTAAAATAGAACAATTTAATTAGCCTATTCTATTTATGTTTGTATGTGAACTCAAAATCAACCCCAACTTTGCTTTAAAAAGCATCACAAGACCTCCTAACCGAAGATCACATGATTACTAACGGAAATCACATTGTGTGTGTATATATATATATATATATATATACAGTAATGTTTTCAGTGTGTGTATCAGTTCTTTTGAACGTTTTCATCTAATTTTAACAAAACCGTGATAATATTGATAATCGTGATAACTTTGGTCACTATAATCGTGATATGAAATTTTCATACCGTTACATCCCTATACATCACATAATGAAATGTTGAAATGTTGAGCACTCAATTGAGAATGTACACATAACGTATCAATCGTACTTACAGGTTGTGGGTTCAGAGAGCTTGTTAGTCCAAATAAAGAAGATTAGAAGCCAACGATTAGAGAAGCAGTCCTTGGTAAAATGACATGCACACAACAAAAGGTTTGAATTGTATTTCTGTGGTATCCTTGAACACAGCATCTTCTCGACATGATGTAAACACATTAACTAGCGGAAGTGTTTGTGCGCAGGTCAGACTCTGTTCGTATTTCGCGGGCAGGTGGGGATTATGTAAATGTGTTACCCAGTGACGTGTACCAGTAACAGGCAAAAGATTAGAAAATATGACGACTCGTTAAGGCGATTCAGAATCGACTCTCTTTTGAGAGACAATCTTTATTTATCATGCACTTTTTTGATTAACAACTTTGCAGATTGTTTTCATTTAAGGATAGCTACGTTATAAACTGCAAAAGAGATATTTTTCAAAAACCCATATGACCTGCTCTTTAAGAAATTTATATTTTATTCAGCAAGGATGCATTAAATTTATCAAAAGTGACAGCAGAGATAGTAGATCATTTCTATGTCAAATAAATGCTGTTCTTTTAAACTTTCAATTGATCAAAAAATCCTTAAAAATCAGCTGTCACCACAGGAATAAATTACATTTTCAAATATATTCAAACAGAAAACAGTTATTTTAAATTGTAAAAATATTTAGAAATATTAGTTTTTACTGTACTTTTAATAATAAATGTAGACTTGATGAACATGAGAGACTTCATAAAGAAAAAAGAAAAAGAAAACGTACACTCCAAACTTTTAGTAGCAATCCGTATTAGTATTATTATTCATCAATCATTGGTTGTGTGTGTTGTTTTTGGAGTGAATAAGGCAGAACGCGTTTTTCAAGTTTACTTTTTTTAATTTAGAAAAGAGCAAAGAGTGTGCTGCAGGTTTTTTAATGTTCTAGGCAACCACCAAATCAGCTGTCCTGTCAGTCTAATCAAGGATTATAGTGTGAACTCTCTAAAATCTTTGTTTTGCTGTTAAGTAAACTGTCAACTTAAAATAAATAAATGAATACAGCTCCAGGTAAAGCATGACAGCCACCACAAGTTTCTCTTCCATCAATAATTTTTTTAGGTGCCACAAAATAAATGTTTTACTTATTTTATTATACTTTTTTTTTTTTTTACATTTTAACATTTCAATCATACTGTCATGTGTTTATGTCTCATCTTTTCTTGACTTTATCAGCATTTTAATCCATCGTGTTGATGACCTGGGAACTAAGGTTCACTTAAAGTGGGAACTAAATGTCTTTTCCAACTGAAATATACAGTCACGCATTGTTTATTACACCGAATCTGTACCAATATCATGAACTAGAAGCATCACTTGGCCGCTGAGTGTAGTTTGGGCTCAGTGCATCCTGTAAATGTTGTCATACACTTTTAAAAATAAAGGTGCTTCACGATGCCATAGAAGAACCTTTTTGTCTAAATGGTTTCATAAAGAACCTTTAACATCAGAAAAACCTTTACGTTTCACAAAAGGTTCTTTGTGTTTTGCGAAAGAAGGTTCTTCAGATTAAAAAAATGTTGAGAAAGAGATGGTTATTTAAAGAACCTTTGACTGAATGGTTCTTTGTGGAACCAAAAATGCTTCTATGAGGAATAGAGCACCTTTTAAGCACCTTTATTTTTAAGAGTGTATGTCTTTCACACTTTCAGTCTGTTTTTCTTAATTAGTAAAATGCAATTTTATAGGAGGAGTTGAAACATGTAGACAACAGGTTAAGTAAAAACATTCAAATGCAATAGCGCATAAATATAGAAAAATGCTCCTCTTTATAGTTATTTTTCTAGCTGACTGATAAGCTTATGGACACCGAACGGTTATTCTGAGGTAAATATATACTACGTTGCAATGTTTACAAGCTTTACACGTTTTCTGCAGTTTGAAACACTGAATGAGCTTTTACATGAGACATTTCAGTGAGCTGTACTGTAGGCTCTCTTATAAAATAGCCTACCTTTTGATGTTAATTCATGTTCATTATGTACTACAGTAGTAAAGAGAAAGATTAAATGGGTTCACTTGACGCTTGAACTGAGGCGCTAATACGACCGCGCCTGCCGCATTCAAGAGCGCCAAAAACAAAACTGTATTTATTGTTTGAATTTCGTTATGAATTTTGAATAATTTTAAAGCTTATACTTTGTTTATTAAAAAGTAACAAAGCACAAAGCTTTTTGCGATTACTGGACGGCACGCTGTGCTTCAAATAATGAAGTTCATGCATTAACAGAACACAGCATAGACTAAGATCTTGTTAAGAAGAAGCCATATTATTAATGATTATAAATGAGAATTGTTAACTTCGATGCGCATCATCTCAGTTTAATACGTGAACATAACAAAAGATGTGATCGCAAAACAATCAGGAAAAAATGCATTACATGCAAATTTTTAAGTTATAACATGTAAATACATGGGCCTAGTCACCAGTGGCGACCTCAGCAGAAACTTCACTCGCAATTTAATATTTTTGGCCGCAAATGCGACGCAGTTTGGAGCCCTGTGTAAACTTCTGTCACCACAACGGAAGTCCCGCCTCTCCATTCATTTGATTGGACAATGAAAAAAATAAAAATAAAAAACGCGAATGACGTCGGGCGCTTTTCTGCTCAGAGTTGATTTTTGGCTGCTCAGAGCACTCCAACAAAAAAGTGAGGCACAGCAGGTGGCTAAAACGCGAGACGTCCAAGGTGCATAAACAGCGAGCAAAACTCTCACTGCCAATAGAACCAATTAAAAATCGCGTTCTGTCTGACCGGGCCTTACAGGTACTTGTGCATGTCTGATTCCTCTAGAGCTCTGGTTGAATATCAAATTGCATCACATGCTTGCCCTGTAACAAGCCACCCAACACGCCTTTCACATACCCGTCGATGCCGCACCCCATATCACCACCAGCTCAAAATAAACACGCTGTCCCACTGCTGTTAATGAGCTCAGAATGGCATCCATCCTCATACAGATCATATTTATATAGTCGCTAATATCATGTGACTGTTTTGACACAAAAACAAACGCCCCATCTTTCTCATGTAATTCTTACTGCACCGGTTACACATCGAATACTAGCACATCTCCATAGGAAGTTGATCCACTTCTGTATGGACATATCTGCTGTATTACGGACTGAAACAAGACCTAGCTGTTCTCTCACGAGATGTCAGGAAACTGTGGCAAAATCTTGCATTTCATTTGGAGTGAGAGCTTAAAGTTTGTCTTAGTTTATGATGTAATAAATGGTAAGAGTAGGGTAAATCACAGAGGAAAACTAAACGTATGCTTTAACCGGTGTGTGGTTTGATTTCTGTTGTATGTCCTCAGTCACCTTTCTTGTAAAACAGTCCAGCAAAAACACAAATATGATCATCTTTACAAATAAAGCAAGAGTGAAATAAACACATTTTACAGTGCACGTAACGGCAATAAAAAGAAAACAAAATTACAAGTTACATTTCCTATAGAGCACCTTTTAAGCACCTTTATTTTTAAGAGTGTATGTCTTTCACACTTTCAGTCTGTTTTTCTTAATTAGTAAAATGCAATTTTATAGGAGGAGTTGAAACATGTAGACAACAGGTTAAGTAAAAACATTCAAATGCAATAGCGCATAAATATAGAAAAATGCTCCTCTTTATAGTTATTTTTCTAGCTGACTGATAAGCTTATGGACACCGAACGGTTATTCTGAGGTAAATATATACTACGTTGCAATGTTTACAAGCTTTACACGTTTTCCGCAATTTGAAACACTGAATGAGCTTTTACATGAGACATTTCAGTGAGCTGTACTGTAGGCTCTCTTATAAAATAGCCTACCTTTTGATGTTAATTCATGTTCATTATGTACTATAGTAGTAAAGAGAAAGATTAAATGGGTTCACTTGACGCTTGAACTGAGGCGCTAATACGACCGCGCCTGCCGCATTCAAGAGCGCCAAAAACAAAACTGTATTTATTGTTTGAATTTCGTTATGAATTTTGAATAATTTTAAAGCTTATACTTTGTTTATTAAAAAGTAACAAAGCACAAAGCTTTTTGCGATTACTGGACGGCACGCTGTGCTTCAAATAATGAAGTTCATGCATTAACAGAACACAGCATAGACTAAGATCTTGTTAAGAAGAAGCCATATTATTAATGATTATAAATGAGAATTGTTAACTTCGATGCGCATCATCTCAGTTTAATACGTGAACATAACAAAAGATGTGATCGCAAAACAATCAGGAAAAAATGCATTACATGCAAATTTTTAAGTTATAACATGTAAATACATGGGCCTAGTCACCAGTGGCGACCTCAGCAGAAACTTCACTCGCAATTTAATATTTTTGGCCGCAAATGCGACGCAGTTTGGAGCCCTGTGTAAACTTCTGTCACCACAACGGAAGTCCCGCCTCTCCATTCATTTGATTGGACAATGAAAAAAATAAAAATAAAAAACGCGAATGACGTCGGGCGCTTTTCTGCTCAGAGTTGATTTTTGGCTGCTCAGAGCACTCCAACAAAAAAGTGAGGCACAGCAGGTGGCTAAAACGCGAGACGTCCAAGGTGCATAAACAGCGAGCAAAACTCTCACTGCCAATAGAACCAATTAAAAATCGCGTTCTGTCTGACCGGGCCTTACAGGTACTTGTGCATGTCTGATTCCTCTAGAGCTCTGGTTGAATATCAAATTGCATCACATGCTTGCCCTGTAACAAGCCACCCAACACGCCTTTCACATACCCGTCGATGCCGCACCCCATATCACCACCAGCTCAAAATAAACACGCTGTCCCACTGCTGTTAATGAGCTCAGAATGGCATCCATCCTCATACAGATCATATTTATATAGTCGCTAATATCATGTGACTGTTTTGACACAAAAACAAACGCCCCATCTTTCTCATGTAATTCTTACTGCACCGGTTACACATCGAATACTAGCACATCTCCATAGGAAGTTGATCCACTTCTGTATGGACATATCTGCTGTATTACGGACTGAAACAAGACCTAGCTGTTCTCTCACGAGATGTCAGGAAACTGTGGCAAAATCTTGCATTTCATTTGGAGTGAGAGCTTAAAGTTTGTCTTAGTTTATGATGTAATAAATGGTAAGAGTAGGGTAAATCACAGAGGAAAACTAAACGTATGCTTTAACCGGTGTGTGGTTTGATTTCTGTTGTATGTCCTCAGTCACCTTTCTTGTAAAACAGTCCAGCAAAAACACAAATATGATCATCTTTACAAATAAAGCAAGAGTGAAATAAACACATTTTACAGTGCACGTAACGGCAATAAAAAGAAAACAAAATTACAAGTTACATTTCCTGTTACATGAACATTTGGAACGGTTTACAGCAGTTGCTCCATAGACATGCAATCTCATGCCACATTATGTAACAGTTAAAGTGATGCTTGCTTTAGCAAAACACTACTAAACATTGCTCATACTTGCGGTTAGGGATTTGAATACTTCTTTAGGTGTGGCCACATTTGCTGTTTTTCGGCAAGTTTAGTTGGTAAAATCCAGTCTTTCAATAGGAATCCACGGGATTGGGAACTCGCCTATGCATATTTTGCAACAGGTTCAGGTTGGATTCACCATGTTGAACAACAGAAAGCTGCTTGGTTTGAAGGTGACATCTGTGTAAGATGCGCTTCACACATTGAAACACTATTGACATTATATAATGGACATTTGTAGCCTGCAAAACTTTGCTTTGATCATACTTTTAAGTAGTATTAAACTTTGGCACATAACCCATCCTGCACACCCCAAATCATAAGTCATGGCCTAATGATTAGAGAGTTGGACTCGTAACCCAAAGATTGCGGGTTCGAGTCTCGTACCTGCAGGGATTGTAGGTGGGGGGAGTGAATGTACAGCGCTCTCTCCCACCTTCAATACCACGACTGAGGTGCCCTTGAGCAAGGCACCGAACCCCCAACTGCTCCCCGGGCGCCGCAGCAAAAAAAATGGCTGCCCACTGCTCCAGGTGTGTGTTCATGGTGTGTGTTTGTTCACTGCTGTGTGTGTGCACTTTGGATGGGATAAATGCAGAGCACTAATTCCTAGTATGGGTAACCATACTTGGCCACACGTCACGTCACTTTTTTTTTTTTAAGTGTACAACATTCTACACTTCGTTTGTTCAGTTAATTAAGTGTCACTTAATTAACTAGATTAAGTTAATCTAGTTAATTCACCAGGTACAATATTCTGATTGTTTGCATCTTGTTTTTAAGCCCATAAATAATAATGTACTCGTTCTAATAAATTTATATTGTAATGTACTTATTCTAATATTAAAAAATCATATTTACATTGCTGGTAGGTTATCATTGCACAAATTAACGAACTCTCTACGTTTAAAAAATAAAAATTATAAAAGTTTAGTTCTAAACTTTTTAGCACTTCCCCGCAGTTTTATCAACTAAATAGCTTAATCGCTCAAGAGCTACATTATCTTTCTCAACAAGGAGTTGGTAACATCAGTTTCTACAGGAATTAAAGCCATAGATTCACTGTTAAATAGAGAAACGCGGCAAAACGGTGGTAATTCATACATACACAGCCTCTCTCTCTCTTAAATGAACACTTGATGAATTACACTTTTCTGAGAATAGAATATTGAAGTGGAGATTGCTAAACTGCAAGCTAAAGCTAAAACCGGTGTTTTCAGAAAGCAAGCGCGTTTATCCACAGTGGAGAGAGAGCGCGAGCACATGGTTGCCAGGTTGACAAAGATAAGTAGCACACTTAGCAGATATTTCCGTATTGCACAAGTGGGAAGCTCTGTTTTGGGGATTACGTCTCTTTATATCAGGCAACCCAGTTGTGTTCCTCTGCGGCCAGATTAAACCTTGTTATA